CTACGACTTTTAACAATTTAACCGCAAACTAATTTTTAATTCCACTTACAAAATCACCAGTTGCCCCTGTAGAACCGATCGATTACATCTGCATCATCACATAAATGCCGCAATCATATATGTTACAAAATTTTAATACCACACATGTCAATTATGAAACCTGCATAAATTAAGCTTTCTATTTATGATAACATCTCATACCCATTCAATTGCTCATTCATCTTATACTCCACAAATTTGAAATTTTTCAAGGGGACCTTTCCTAGAGAGCCACATGCTTCTACCCAATTGCGTTTCTTATATTAACTATTTAATATTTTCATCTGCATTAAAAAAATATGAATTTATGATCCAAATAAATTATGCATTATAATTTACATAATTTCCTTTCATACATACCAATCTCTTAGCATCATTCACTATCTGTTTAGCTGCTTCAGATGTAAACAGACTATCATATACCTTTGCAACACGTTCTACCATATCCAACACCAACATATACCAATGTGAATTATGGTAGTTTATTGTGATCATGATCTGCAACAAATTTCACACCTAATTTGACAAAATTGAACATTATATATCTGAAAACATCATTTGAAATTCGTATGGTGTCTTACCTTCTAACAGTCGGCGAATTTCACATAGTTATCCAATATGGGACCCCAAAAGCTCGCAATACCCTCAACAGTTACTTTGTTGTTGCTCTCCAACGCCTGTTGCTGTAATTACGCGACAATCATTATTAATTTACTGTCTATAACACTACTTTTCAACATTTATTAATTTAACTCACCGCTAAGTGGTATGGAAGGTAGCCAATCCTCCAGAGTGACTTTTTCGCATCGTAGCATACTGTCTAGTAGAGTAAATCAATAACCTAACAAAATTAATTATACAATCAGAACATATTCAATAAGTTTTAACATTTTTTTACTTTCTACTTACCACACCGTCAACCCATTTCATAGGCTTCAATGTTGCAACGTCGGATACACTAGCGTATTGATTTCCCATTAAGATTACAGAAAGACTGTATGAATCATTAGGATTAATATCATGTCATGAAATATTTAAATATCACTCACAAAGCAATATATTTCACTTACTCCGATTCTTACCCACTATTCCATAAATAATCACACATTGCAGCTTCGAGCTCATAAATTCCGCTTGGAATATCCGCTTTTTCAACCTACAATTTTGCATATAAATTTTTGTCACAACAACATGATAAAAATCAAATTAAGTTTTCTTTTATTCAACTTACCTTTTGCTTTTTCTTCTGGGGTGCAGGACATTCCAAATCCAAATCTGCATCTATAACACTCTCCGGTGTATAGATCACATCGAGATCCTTCCTCCTCATTTCCTCCATCTTTTCTTCTTCATATTTTTTCAGTTCTTCGTATTTTTTCTCTACATAGCTCTTCATCTCTTTTATTTCACCATTCATTTTTCCCCTTCATCCAAGTTTTTCTCAACCACCCCCTTCACCCCCGTAAGTTCGCTCCTCAATTCCACAATCTCCTTGACCACTCCATCAATTTTTTCACCTGTCACCATCTTAAGTTCACCCCTCAACAACTCAACTTCTTTCACCACTCCATCTATTTTTCCTTCTACTTCCCCCTTATGCCTCTTAAGTGTCTCTTCGACTCTTGATTGTCTTTGCAGAATATCAAAAAGGAATTTTTTTATATCATCCAATTCAGACATCAAAATGTCGAATTTACTATGTTTTCCCTCACCGTCATCCCCTTGATCGTCATCCCCCTACAACCATCTCTTCTTTTCTTCTCCTCTGCCTGCTCTACCTCCTCTGCCTCCTCTACCTTCTTTTCAATAACTTTCAAAATTAAATTACAATATTAAGACATTGATTATATTCTTAATATTATTTAATTACATTTATTACCCTTTATTGCTTCCTTGGTCTAGCCAACTTCAACTTCGCCATCACTCTAACCACCTCTTCCTTCCCCCATGCACGGATGCGTGTCACTCCGGTTCTTTCATAAGTCGGCACAATATCAAAGTCACACCAAAAATCGAACAGTGCAACCTGCATTTATAATAAAATTTATCATTTTATATAATAACTATACTATCATTTTATATATAAAAAAACAAAAACGTTGTTCAACTCATTTACCTCTAAGATTGCTATGCACCCTTTGAGGTATCTCGGCTGCCCTTTTTAAGGTGATTATTGATTCAATCAATCTCGAATGTATATATTCAGCCCAATTGAATTCACCTTTCAAGCCTTCATCGCAAATGAGCTTTATATAGTCCTTGTTCGTTGACGTATAACCCGTTGGACAAAGAAAGACCCCGACAAGGTACAATAGAATTTGGGCCTTCAGGTCATCCCCCCGTAAGATCCACTTTTGATTTCCTCTTCAAGTTCAGCATATGTCACCTTCTGCTTCAAATCATATTTGGATGCAAGTGCTTTCCAGTTCTTACTCTTAGAGACTTCTACAACACTTTTGCCTTCATTTCCTACCCCAAGACGGCTGCAGCACATGGGATCCCCAGAGGAAATGAATAATCACCATATTTAACAATGCATTGTTCGACATCAAATTGCTCCATCAAGGATCGACACAATTCCCTCAGAATAGGTCGATCCCTTACTCCTACCAACGATCCAAATCCCATTTCTTCCAGCACATTCAACTGATCCTTCTCCTTAAGGTGTTTAATTAATGAATTCACCCTTTTAATGTTGCACATTGTCGACATTTCCTACATTTTTTTAACAATATATAATGTTATTGTTCTTATATATTTTGTATCAACGTATTTACAAGTTTAATGAATATCTTCTTTTCATGTGCTTTCCTCCATTTTTTGTATTCTTCAATATACATCTTTGACTGTGCGATGTAAGGTTCCTTCTCAGCATCACTCATCGAATTCCATTTCTCCAACACATCATTTCTCACCTAATATTAAGCATAAACGTTTCTTAATCAATACATTAACGCTAAATAATACTCGATGCCAATTTCAATTTACATATCGAACCGATATGTTTGCCAGCTTCCTTCATCCTTTGGCATTCGGTCATACTGTCAACATTTAAAATTTGTAATCAATTTAAAGTTCTTAAATACTTTAATCCAATTACCATTTCAATAATAATAACAAAAAGACATTGATACTTACTAGAAGTACATATATCTACCATTTGGTTGCTTTCGAATCTCGGCCTCAATTTCAAAGTCATTTTCGCCACCAACAATTCCAAGATCCTTTGACTTCATTTTTCCTTCATATATCAGTTTACGCAAATCAAATCAAATATTGGTTACATACACTTTATTCAATATACAAATATCGATAACTACTCTTGTAGTAAAACGGTTTCCTTCAAAAGAATTTGAATGGCCACTACAACAAGTGTCGGCACATTTATACAACCTACAATATTATTTTTTACCTATAATATTATAAACATGTATCTATATTTATTTTCTACCTATAATATTATATAATCGATCTCAGTTCCTTCTTGGCTTCGATTCGAAATCCCCAAACCAAACCCAAAAACCCTAATCCCTATTTCCTTCAAACGAATAGGAACACTCAATACTCCAAGTATCGACACATTTATACAACCTATAATATCATTTTCTACCTATAATATTTAATAAAAATATCGATATTTATATTTTACCTAGAATATCACTTTCTACCTGTAATCGGTCTCAAATGCTTCTTTACTTAGAAAACCCCAAACAACACATAAAAACTTTATTTCCGATTACTGTAATAATAAAAAACTAGGGTTTCGACAACGTACTCTTCGATTCGACTGCAGCAACAAACAAACAAACAAACTTCGCTTTAGAAACGCCTTCTGAAATGCAGCAACAATTATGCTTCGATTTCAAAAACTCGTCTGTTCTATCTATTTTTCAGAGGATATTTAACTATGCCCTTTATATTTTCACCGAATATGTTATTTATATTTAATCGATACAACTACCCAAGTGTCGATACTTTTATGTCAGGTGTCAATACTTTCGATAGGATAATTACCTATTTCTTTGAAAGTATCGATAATTTATTACGCGTACTTATTAAAGTATCGACACTTTCAATATATCCGGTAGCGCTTTACCGGTTTTGTCATTTCGAGACCTGTTTTATCATATTTTTACCTATATTGTTATGGATCGATACATTTTTATACAGTATCGACACTTTATAGGCGCTATTATTGTTTCTCTTTTAAATTCCCAAAGTGTCGATACTTATATGAAAGTATCGACACTTTCAATATATCCGGTAGCGCTTTACCGATTTTGTCATTTCGAGACCGATTTTGTCATATATTTACCTGTTATATCGTTATGGATCGATACATTTTTATAAAGTATCAACACTTTATAGGCGCTATTACTGTTTCTCTTTGAAATTCCTAAAGTGTCGATACTTATATTAAAGTATCGACACTTTCAATATATCCGGTAGCGCTTTACCGGCTTTGTCATTTCGAGACCGATTTTGTCATATTTTTACCTGTTATATCATTATGGATCGATACATTTTTATAAAGTATCGACACTTTATAGGCGCTATTACTGCTTCTCTTTTAAATTCTCAAAATGTCGATACTTATTTCAATCTAATCAATACTTTCAACATATTCGGTAGCGCTTTACCGGTTTTTTCATAATTAAACCGATTTTGTCATAATTAAACCGGGTTTGTCATATTTTTACTTGTTATATTGATATGGCTTAATACATTTTTTTATTTTGATCGACACAAACCGACAAGCTAAGTTTACCGGTTGCCAAATTTTTCAATATTTCTTCATGATTTACGCCTACTACATTATTATTACTCAACATTTTCCGGTAATGCTAAACCAAATTTATTAAATATCTTTTAATATATTCGGTAACATCGTATATTAACTGTATATTAACCCGTATTTCCTAAGACAACCCCAACATGAAACGTAAAATAGATCCCCTATAATTAATGATACACAGCACATATATCATGAACTAAAAGATAAGAAACAGAGTAACTAATCACTACTTAAAATAAAACTCGCAGAATTATACGAGTGATTTAGACATTGTAAAGAATTTATTTCTAAAATTATCCTTTAAAACACTAACTTGACTATCCTACCACGGTCACATCTATGTTTTAATTTTCATCAACCATGAACCTCTTCCAGGCAGGATGTTTATTCCAAACTGTGTAGACCATGGCATCGATTGGCACATTTTTTGTCTCCGGTAACAAGAACAAGACGAATGCTCCCATGGCAAATATCCAGGCGGCGAAGAAGAAGAATATAAAGGCGCGCATATGACACAACATGGACAAGAATGCTTGACCTATGATGAAGGTGCAAAGCATGTTGGAGCTAACCGCGAACGCGAAGCCAGCTGTTCTCGTCTCGAGAGGGAATGTTTCACTGGGTATCAGCCAACCAAGAGGACCCCATGACCAAGCAAAAGCCATTACATACAAACACACCAGTACCACAACCATAATAGCTAAGTTTTTTGTTAGTGAATCAGTGGCGTGCAGGTAGTGTAAAAGAATTGCTCCAATTGCAATCTGCATATATCACATACAGAATAAGTCAACACAGTGACAGATTAGGACATACATACATGTTAAAAACTGATGCATACCTGGCTTCCAAACATCTGAACACATGCTTGAAGAAGTAATTCCCTCCTACCAAACTTATCAACCGTACCGATCGAGACCAGAGTACCGAAAACATTTACGATTCCAGTTATCACAGAGGACAACAACGAAGCGTCATTCTTGAATCCACCAGTTTGGAACAGGACAGGAGCATAAAACATGATGGCATTTATCCCTGTAAACTGTTGAAAAACTTGCATCATCACGGCAATAATCAAAGGGGGCATGCTGTTGCGTTTCATGAGTTCCTTGAAGGGATGCTTTACTCCTCGGGCAATTTCATTAGCGTTTACAATTTGCTGGAACTCGGCTTCGACATCCTCAACACCCCTAATCTTTTGCAGCGTTGTATGCCCCGAAGACTCCTTTCCACGCTCAACCAGGCTCGCCGGTGTCTCGGTGATGATCAAAGAACCTATGAACAACATGGCGGCCGGGACGCCAGCAAGCCCCAAAGACACTCTCCATCCATAAGGGTGCATTTTTGATGTGCCATAGTTGACCAGATTTGCAAAAAGTATCCCTATGGTTACAAAGAGTTGAAAGAGAATATTAACGGCTCCACGATGTTTGACTGGGGCTATCTCTGATAGGAACAATGGAACTGCCTGCACGATCAATTTTATCAATCACTGGAAGATACAATTCAAAAACAAATATGTACGATTTTTATCCGATCAAACCTCATTGCCAAAGCCAACGCCAATGCCAAGGAGCACACGCCCGATAATAAGCATCGAGAGATTCTGAGAACCGGCACTGAAGGCCGCTCCGGCCAGGAAAAATAGAGAAGCGGCAAGAATCGTCGGCTTTCGGCCGAATTTGGTGCAAACCTTAGAAGCAGCAAAGCTTGAAAGCAGAGCAGCTAGGTAGAGTGAAGACGTAAAAAGCTGAAGAAATTGGTCATCATATTTGCAGTAATTGTCCTCCTTTGCATGCATCTTTCTTTCATGGACTTTGGGAAAGAATTTAATCAAAAAGTCGTCCATGGTTGTCACCCCACCTGTAATTATACAGTGTAAATTAATTTCTTGTCTACTAATTTCAGTTCACAAAATAATTGAAACTAATGACTTAACCTGAAATTCCAATGTCGTAACCAAACATAAGGCCACCAAAAGCAGACGCCACTCCGACGCCGCTCTTCGCCGTCCCGTAGGCAGCACCCATACCTGAAAACAAAACCATCCGATTGAGTAGATAAATTTAGCACCGATCAAAAGCCGGCCCTGTTAGGGGGGAGTAAAAGTTAGCATTTTACAAGAGAAAACCAGGGCAGAAGCGGCTCAGAGGAAGCCAAAGAAAGGAGCAGTTTCATCGCCGCTAAATGTCGAAGCCATTTTAGTATTTTTTTTTCAAATGTTCAAACTTGAAAGACGATTTGAAGAGATATGATCGCTGAGTTTCGTGAGTGATCAAATGAAGAGACGAGAAGGATAATGGAGAAGGCACCTGGAAATTTCCAAGTGGACCCCACGTGAATATGATCGAACCATCGCCCTACAATTGGCAATTTGGTATTATGCAAAGTGTCTTGGCTTGTACCTAATTTGGGACAAATTTTATAGGTGAAAGTATCTAAACAATCCCTCTACTATCTTAAAGTGAGTAAATAAGACCATCTTCTAAATGATGGAGAAATTAAGTCCCCGTTTTTTTTAAAAGAGAAAGCACTCTGGTTTTTTGTTGTTGCATAAATCAAACGATATCAGTAGTTAAAAGATAATTGTTATTTTTAGAAGTTTTAGATTTGAGTAAGATATTTATAAGGGTATTTAAGTATTCATTGTCAAATAATTGAGAATTTTTTGAACAAATATTATTTTATAATTACTCCATATTGATTTTTTTAATAAAAAATAAGAAATTTGTTAAAATTGACCCTAAAAAGTGTACAATTGTTTTTAAGTTATAATCCATGTCATGTAAAAATTTATTATCTTGCTATATCTCATTTATATTGTCAATGCCACGTCAACTTTGCAGGGACACGTTTTCCATGTCAGTATTTTGGATTATTCCCGTTAGAAACATGATCAATTTTATCAACTTGCTTTATTTTAAAAGCATGGGGACTTGATTGGTCCATTATGTATGTAAGGACTTATTTGCTCACTACATAATAGTAGGGAGACTGTCCAGGTCATTTGACCAAGTTTTTATGGGCTTAATTTTGGCGCAAATAGATGGGCTGTAAAAGTGGATTGGGGAACTTTACCAGGAATATTGGGTAAATCCAGCCCAAATGTTTTATAGGTATAATTTTACGGGGTAGGTATTAGTACATAAATAGTAATTTTTTAACTCCACAAATACATCTTAAAAATATAACATACTTTTTTATATAAATAATACCTACTCCATCTTAATTAAATATCACATAGAATAGGTCGGGTGAAAACTTTGACCTAAAAATTGAGTCTAACAGATCTTTCTAAACTTCGGGTCGGGTCAGGTGTGGGTGGAGAGGTTCATTTTCAAGTCAGGTTCGAGTGGACAAAAAATCCTGACCCGACCAATGGTGACCACTAATTATAATCAGACAATTAAAAAATAATTATAATGTGTCAATTAAAAAAACCTAGTAAACCTTTTGCGATACTTTATTCTTTGGATTTTATTAAACTTATGAAGCTGTAAAATGAGGGGAAGAGTTCAAAACATCTGAATCATAACAAGCCACTTGGTTCCAGTGCTTAAAAAGTACCAAATACAACAGAAGAGTTGATAACAAATGGCTTTTTCCTCACGGATTAAGAAGATTAATAACAGTCCGAGCCGAGCTTGACCTCTTCTAGAGGGGTTAGAACTGGAACTGCATCTCCGGAGAATAGCCGAGAGCATCAAGGTGGTTGGCCATGGCCTTGTTCATGGGTGGAGGACCACACCTTAGTATCTACGGGTCATAATATCAACATGTTCAAAAGTCCATACATTTTGTTTCCATGTAGGAATACGGAGAGATAAATAATATAAAGAAGTAATGTACCTTGATATCAGGAGTCGGTGCCGGGCAGTGGGTTTGAATCATTTCCTTTGACACAAAGCCGACGCCACCATCCCACACTTCGGGAGGCTGAACAAATATCATCATCATAATGTAGCTTGTTAATAAAATGGCTATGAACGTTAACCTCCGGTATGTTAGGAGATAGCCACATCAGAAAGGCAACAAACCTGGTTCAAAACATAGTAGACATTGAAGCGACCGGGGTAACTGGCAACAAGGCTATCCAACTCTTCCTGCAAATAAATCATTTGAATTTCACTTTCTGACCCATTTCCTAGTTCCTATGATCTACTCACTAAACATCCACGCCTGTATTACAGGCTGTGTGAGTACATCCGCGATAGCCATAATAATCATTGCACACTAAATGTGCAACGCTCAGAAATCATTTCAGTTATTTAAGGAAATGTGATTATAACATGGAAATGAAATCTACCAAGACAATTGTTATTATAAAAGAGAACAGAAGCTGTGTTATTCAGAGTCCTATGAGATTATTATAAAGGCCTAGCAGTAGGTAGTAAAGACATAAGCAAGGATTTTGGCCAATCTTGTCCGGACCTTTCCGAACCCAGAAAGAAAAATAAGAGCATTGTCTTGTATGCAATTGCATTCAATGCCCAATATAGCTCAGCGTTCCCAGTAGAGGCAGGACTGTATTCTGTTCTCCATAACGGAAGACAGAAGAAACCTTTTCATAGGTTCTTTAACTTGAACTAATCATTAAGGTGAGTCAAAATACAAAGTAGACAGTAAGATACCTTCAAAAGAATGTCCTCATATGTAACATTTGCGTAAATAAGGTGTACATTTGTCGTGTCTTTTGGGTTCTCCAAAATGGCTCTGGCAACCTAATCAGAAGCCAAAAACCAGAAAACAAATGATGGTGAAACGTTATACGAACATTAAAAACTTGCAACAGGCTATGATTAAAACATGTGGAAAAGGAAACATGTTTCGAATCCAACCAAACATGTTAAAAGAAGCACTTGTTGAAAAATGATTAACATACTTGGAACATTGGAGTAATGCCAGAGCCTCCAGCAATCATCCCAAATGCTCTAACTTGACCAGGTTGATACCTGAACCGCCCCTGGAAGAAACAATTGGGAATAACATTAAAAACTGATAACCAAATGTGAATTCTCAAGTTGAACATAAGTCAGACAAGGCCGGAAAGCCAGCTAGTCAGCAAGCCTTGAATAATATGAGGAAAGCGTATAAAACAAACATGATCTGTTTGTATTCCATAGGAAATGCACTAGAATGTTAGGTAAGATTGCATCAGACTCAACAGTAATGAAAGCAGAAATGACATATATGTTGATACTCTAATATTCAGTCGCAATGAAGGCCAATCATAAGAAAAACCATCGTTGCTAACAATGTGGCTAGGAGTGTAAATGAACAGAGCGTTCGGTGAACTGTTCATGAACCGTTCGTATAATGTTCATTTATGTTCGTTCGTTAAGCTAAATAAACGAGTATGAACAGAAATTTTTATGTTCATTTAATAAACGAATGAACACGAAAAAATATGTGTTCGGTTCGTTTATATTCACGAACAAACTCGTTTATCGACTCGTTCATTTATGTTTATGAACAAGCTCGTTTACTCGGTTCTCCTTTTCCTTTTATTTTTTTTACATTTTAAATGTTAATGAAGGTAGAGACTAAATTGAACACATGAAATTTAAATTGTGGATTTTAAGGAGTTTAATCACAGGTGATGTAATTTTATCATTTTTTTTAGCTTTGCAAATGAAATGGTAAACCAAAAAATTGAATATATAAACGAACGATAAAAAAACGCTAAACGAACACTAAATGAATGCTAAATGAACACGTTCGTAAACGCTAAATGAACACGTTCGTAAACGCTAAATGAACACGTTCGTGAACATATAAATGAACATGTTCGCGAACAATAAATAAACGAACATGAACACCTTCAAAAATAAATACACGAACACAATATTAAAAATTTAAACGAACAAGAACCGAACACGAACACCTTAAAAAATAAACAAACGAACTCAAACATAACCTTGTTCCTTCAAGCTCAGATCATTTACACCCAAAATGTGGCCATAGCAATGTTATCCAGAGAAACAGGGTGCAAAAGGGACGGAGAACCCAACAGACAAGGCAAATTTATGCATTCATATGAAAGAAACCACATACCTTGGGACCCTTCACAGAAAGGTAATCACCTACAAGCATCTCTCTGAAATGGTGTGACATCCTTCCTTGAGGGTACATCTACTTATAAGCAAATTACCATCAGAAAGTTAGTAGATGGGTAACTCCCAGATATATCGATATCACAATGAAGATAACTCCACCCAGCATGAAGTTTCAGGTACCTTAATAACTAATTCAAAACGACCAACATCAGAATCCAATGTTGTAGGTGTATATGGTTTAATAACCTCCTCACCTTGGCCATCCTTGCCCCTGTTAAGATGAAAGCATCTAACTCATATAGTAGTCAAGTTCACAAGCATTTGGAAAGCATCTACAACCATTATCCTAGTAAGAAATATAAAAAAGAAGAATACAATCAACTGAACCTGCAACTTATATGCTGCCCGATGGGAAGACCCAAAACTGAAGTAGGTGTAGGAAGTTCAAATGTGAACTTTGCCACGTTATGACTCAGCTGCTGGCGCTTGACGAGCTTAAACTCTTTGAAATTCTCTGGATCTAGACAGCCTAAAAAGCATAAATGACAGCATAGTCAGCAACTTCTTAAGCAAACGATACAGTAACAGAACTTGGGGAAAGGAAAAGTGTACCGAGAAGTAGAATAAAACTCAATAAATCAACTTTTATAGGGAAAAAGGTGATTGCTTTGCATTAGCAAATATAAGTCCATTGACAAAAGAGAATAATACAAGGAACTGAAGATCCATCAGAGCTCAACAAGTGTTAACAAGCCAAACTAAAGTAGATTTATGACTGAAACTGCTTGAACCTGCAACTTTCCCTAACCTAGAAGTCATAAGTTAAAATGAACACAATAGATCAGTCTCTTGAAAATGCATAAATATGAAACTTTGATCAGATATTCAGAACAATTCACATTAAAATATAGCCCCATATCGACTCCATTTGCTTTTAACATTGTTCACTTGATTCTAACTTACACTGTTCTTTATAAGCACAGCCAAGTTATAATTGCTCAACACCCTGAGCTACGCGATTAACAACGAAAATCAAGATTCAGTACTTATGAATGCAATTGCTTAATAAGAAAAGGAAATAACTTGGTTTGCAATACTTGCTTCTAACAGCAGGATATTGTACCAATCCATGAAGAGCTACAATCAACGTTTACAACTATTTCGTCCAGAAAACCATCCGTTCATATTTTATGTGACAGTTTCATTCAAACTACATAAGAAACAGAACTCGATCTTATACCGTATATTCAATCAGTATGCCAAAACATTCAGAATCAGAATAAATCATGACCAATAGAAAACAGTCTAAACAATGCCACAAGTTACTCAAA